GACGACAGAGATAGAAACAACACCATGACAAAGGCGGTTTCACCGTCCATCGACTGTCAGTGGGTAAAATTATTTGAAGAATTTCCGTTGTCGATCGGCATTGGTAACGGAAACTGACTACGAAAGAAACAACAAAACCGAGAGGGAAAATAATACTGCAAGATGACAACATAGTAAAATTTCAATTACATGACTAACCTACTGTAATATAAAACTGTAAATGTACTGGTCTGCAATATAATGCAGTGGATATCCTTCTACTGACTACCAACAAGGATTTGAAACGTTTGTTTGTACACTCAAAAACTTTAAGACCTATTGAAGCTTTCCTTTATTTTTCCTACATAAACCTTTCCAAAATATCCTATTCATTATATGCTTATTCATTCAGCACGCTTTTGGTACACATTTCCGGAAATGTATCTGAAGAAATCCTGCATTAAATTACAACAATTCCTTACATTCACCCCCTTTCTCCATTTACCAAAATAATCATAACAAATACAGTGCTTACTACAAACTGACCGACCTCCAATATTTTGGAAAGGAAACTATTAGGAAGGATAAGAAGGTAATATTTATTAAGTTTCTTTCTGTCTTAAGAAAAGTTTTCGATAATTCCTTTGGAAAAACTCCTCTAACAACCACAGTATCAAACATGTCGTTTTACGTGAAGAACCAAGACATCCCTGCAGTTGTTTTCCCCGATTTAGAGTTCAACTACAAACTCCATTACAAGTGGACAAAACCGCAGGTGAGCGCATTGCTTTCTTAAGGCAAAGACGCCAAGTCACTCGGCGAAATTATTAGCGGTGATGATTGCCTATCATCAACATGACGCTTCTCTTTGTCGGCAAATAAGCCAATCGTTCAATGGTAAGTAAACTTTTTGATAGAATACCATTTCACCAGACGGTTTCGCCTGTCTGTCTTTTTTTAATCACCTATTCACTTACAAGCAAGCCAGAAAATAGAAACTTGCCATGGATCAAAAATCCTCTCACTATTGAGAAGATCTAACAAGCAGCAAAATCTAGAGAAATATTAGTGTCATTCAAGAGGACTATAATATTCGTTTTATCACAAACCCTGTGAAGTATTGATTTCTTTTGGATTTTGATACTGGAAGAAGCTTTTATGTTTCACAATGTCTTTCCATTTTCTGGTTTGCTAGTAAGTGAACAGGTTGGGTGCTTATAGAAGTCCTCGATGAATTCTGAATCAAAAGGAAAGAAACGGACTTCCATTCTCCTTTGGCGACTTATAAATAAACATAAACGAATGTAAAATTTACACCTACGGGTCACAGCTTTAAAGCTGCCCATGCGTATATATTCGGTTTATCGCTTTACGATTAACGAAACGTCGACTACGACAGCCCAGTTACGAAACAAAAACATATGATCTTTGAAAGTGTGCCAAGAAACGGCTGCGCGAACTACAAACGAACAAGTTGTACGGATCCGAATTTTAAAACAACTGAAACTGCACAAAAATTAATCCTCACATCAAAGGAACACCTCGAGACCACCAACATACTGAAAATCGTGAACAAATGCAAAGAAATCCCAAAAGTTCGGTTAAGTATCGGACGGTTCTTTATCGAAGAGCAATGGCAAGAAGCCACAGACCTTCATTAATTTTTGTGGTAATACCTAGGTGTTTGTATAATTCATGGGCTGGTACATTTTTCGTTTTGCACCATCCTAATCTCGATATCTTCAACTATTCTCGAGGTATAGAAAAATTTCTTTTCATCTCGATAATGGACATTTATTTAACGTAGAAAATTAGAAACTTTAGTTTTATCCTGATGATCCTGGTCAAGAATTAAGAACTATTTTATCAAACTGTAGTATTTTTGATGATCTTCCGACACATATTTAGGTCATCCATGCGAGCGAACCCACAGATTTAAAGCTTGTACACAACAGTTTTATCTCTTTATCAGTCAATGACCAAAAGTTCCAATCACCCAGAAATTCAGCCGTTATCATTTTTCATCTCTATTTTACCAAAATCTCAACAAACGTATAGAGGAATAGTGTTATAAAACCATCTCATTTCGAGGCGTCATGACTGCAACAGACGCTTACGGTGCCGGCGCCCAAGGACTTGCGCACTGCGGAAGTGGGTCAGTACAGACACATGTACAAAAAGTACAGGCGAACACACCCACAATCGCAAGCGGCGATTGTTATATACTGCACTTGATGCAAGTAATTAACTATCCAGAGTTACTTGATAGGTGCTGGACGTGTCCACAGGCATGAGTGCAATACGGTGGATATGGCACGATTCTTTCTTATTAGCTTTTGGGTCGGCTCTCGCTCGTTGCCATACGTGAAGGTAAAATATTGTAAGGTAATATAGATTAAGTGCAGACAAGCACGTCAGCAGCGTGCACTTTAGACTGGGGAAAAGAGGTCGTAGAAATGGAAGTGGTGACGCACGAAGAAAACGAGGCGGAAGAATGTAGGTCTCTTTCGTCGAGAAAGAACAAGAGACGAAAGAGAAACAAGGATCGCGAGCAAAAGAACGGTTTTAACGGGCAACCATCAGGTGAATTTCAATTACAACAGCAGCCGCAGCACACGAATCTGAGCAGCATCACGTAGCTGAGCTGTTGATTCAATTATGCAACTTAGCTAGCCCGACAACTCCAACTCGGTGGTCCTGTTATTATACTTTTAAATACTTCTTCGAAATTTGTACCACGAAGCAAACGAAGCGAGGGTTTCGTCGTTTATAATGGCACTTACGCAAGTGGAAGTCGAAACCATTGGAGAAATGGGTCCTAGCTAAAATGCGACCTTTGAATTAATGAACTAAACTATACCCAAACGGACCATTTCGAAATACTTTCTAAAAATATGCAAACTCCTGACGACATTTCGTAAAATTTGAAGCGCAGGCATGCACGCACGCAAAACCAAAACAAAAATAAACTTCGCCGATCGCCGTGGTTTACCATCACCTTCGCTCCATCACGTTTCACGCGCCTACACAATGATGTTATGTGCGTCACATCGGTGACGACAATAGAGAGATATATTCAAGGCCATTGCGATGCAACAATTAACCGTCATTGCACTTGTGTGTGTGTGGTGTAGACGGAGAGTTGACAATTAAACGGCGCCCAGGATATTCGAACGCAGGATTCGGTCGCGACGTCGCAGCCATTATGAGAAGTCTGGCGTTTTCTAGAACAGCTACGCGCTGATAAAATAACTGAACGTTGAAGTGGAACATAACAATGAGCAGTTAAAAGTAACGTTTATCTGTAATTGAAGACGGCAGCTAACATTTCATTTGCGTGAATATTTAAGTTGATAATGTGATAATGGTTTTAATGCCAAATAATATGAGAGCAATTTGTGGCAAGCGCAAAAATAAATTTTGTGTTTTACTCCCACCAGATGAAGCCGGCACAGCGGAAGATCCTCTTTAACCTCCTTTAGGAATCGTGGAAATGGATGAACGCGTGGTTGGGGAGATATAGGTGAGGCAGATGAAATGAACATATTAGATGAAGTTAAAGACTATCCCTGGAAAAACCTCCGGATTACCTTAGGTGGAAGGTTCTCTTCAGTTATCTTTTAGGAATCGTGAGAATGGATGAACGTGTGGTTGGGGAAATACAGGTGAGACAGACGAAATGAAGACATTAGGTGAAGTTAAAGACTATCCCTGGAAAAACTTTTGGGTTACTAATACTGGGGGCCGGAAGCCCCCCCCCGGATTGCTTCAGGTGGAAGGCTCTCTTCAGCTTTCTTCCAGGAATCGTGGGAACAGGTAGGTGCGGTTTGGCAATGAGAAAGATGAGACATACAAAATGGAGACAGAAGAGAAGTGTGAATTATTATCCGAGAACTATTGTTATGATTGCCCTAGTATTTGTTCAAGCGATCCAAGGAGACCACAGGAAAACGTGGACCAGGGGGCAGACGGATTCGGAATCGAACCGGTGTCTTCTCAAATGTTAAGCAATGGTTTCAATCATCTCTAGGCTATGCCGGTAGGGCGATCTGAAGCATTTGTGTCTACACCATTAATGATAAATATGGAAAAACATGGTCCAAGACCGACAGACTAGGAATTGAGCCAATATCCTCCCGGATGCTAAGCTGCTTTTAGAAGTCATCTGGTAACCGAGACAGATGTTGATTATTGGACAATTTTACTGGACCATCAAGAGAAAATACTTCAGTGGTACCTTATTAAAATAAATTTTCACTTTTCCTTAAAAAGTGATCATTCTTCCCTTCTTTAGAAGACCTTAACGAAAATTGTTGTACAAAGAAATACGTAATCTTATTCAGATTGATTGCGCATCTCTTATGAGCTATTGGCAAGCAATATATATCTGCTACGATGTTAAAAATCCTTTACAGTTACACATAGGCAACGTTGAACGTATGCCCACTCCTGAGCTGTTTGTAGCAGCAGACGAAACGTAGCTGCCTTTAAAACTAGAAACTGGCAAACAAAGGACCAGGTGTGTCGACCTTAACAAAAAGAGGGTACCACCATAAAGGTGCTTCGCTTCTTGCCACCTTCCTATTACAAGGAGCAGGTAGTGAGACGTATATGCCAAATAAATAAAGTTACTTTCTTATAAAACAATGACGACGGATAGATTCGTAAAATAACCGATTCCTTTGGAGAACTAAAGAAAAAAACATTGTAAAATACTACTATACGGTACCACGTCATAACATTCTCGGGAATGATAATTATGAATGACTAAGCAAACGACTTCCAACGAACCGTCAACGCAGGCGCTCTGGCCACCGTACAACCAACATGAAAGGCGATTATTAGCGTGGACAATTACTTGTATTTTTATCTGTATTCAAAAACAGATCACTACATTCCAGAAAAAACATTACAACAGTGTGCGCAATGCAATTTATTAATTGTATCCAAGCTTAAAATACGACAAACAATAAAAAAAGTTGATCCACTGATACCCCCTCACACACAGCACACCTACCTACCGAATGATTATGATTAATAACAATAAATCCACAATCCTCTTGAATATAATACGTCACAACGGTGTATATGAACTCTTAACACCTTCGAATTACAAAGTGCGCACTTTAATAATAAACACACCAAATTTTGAAGGAAACAAAGGTGAACGCACCAACTTTTCCAATTAGTACGCGAACAGCTGTTCTTTATGAACCACCGTCTCATAAACCAATAGAAAATCGGAAAATCAAAACTTTTCACGAACAACGAACTCACAATGTGACTTTCGAGCTCCTACTCCACACAGACAATTGCGTTTTACAATTGAGAACTGATAAAAAGATACTCCAAACAAGCGACGCCGTGCGTCCGTACGCCGACACGTTTGCGATCAAACTAAAAGCGACATGACGCTGCAAGAAGCGAGAACGGAACGCTCTGGCACATGCGCACATTTCAAAACAAAAAACGTGAGGCAAAATTATGGGGGGGAACGTGTGGGAGAGAGACGGGGGCATAATCGCTGTCGCCCATTTTCCTCAGGGTGGGGATTTTTACGTCGAGCATACTACACATGCACCATATCATTACCATTAATAAATAACTGGAACGGGCAACAGACTAAGAGGAAAGCGACAAGCGGACAAATTCGAAGAAAGGCACCTTGATAACGACAAACGCGGATAAGTGAAGGTAAAAAAAAAGATAGGAATAAAAAGGTGGGAGGATCGGTAAATGAGAACTTTAACGAATAAATTCTTCCTGGTACAATAATCCCTCTTGAAAAACGTGCACTTTTTGCGTTTAAAATTTACGAAATATTAGGCAGGAATAGGAACACTGCAACGTAGGAACGTGTGTGCCTAAAGGTGTTTAATACGGCATTCAAAAACAGGTATTTAATGATAAACAATTTCATATTAGCAACAAAACAAACCAGGCAACTACATGTAGGTATGTATATTCACAGGTTCACGAACAAGTTCACCGATAATTTTGTCATGTGTATATTCCGTAAATCTTTTGACGCATGGGTAGTTTCACTATCATCTCGAGGAGGGGTTTTAGTCGGTAGGCGCTACGGCAAATCCGACACTACCCCCCTTCAGGGGGTGTCTTTTGAAAATTTCCCCTCCTCGAGGCTAAACTAAACAAAAAAAAAGGGTAGTTTCACGATTAGTCTTTTTCGAGGATTCCATGCCTCACTTTTGGGTATTTCGATTCCACTCGATACTAAAGCTGGTGGACGGATAGTCCCTCTGCACTACGTCAGAGAGTAGAGCGGAAGATCCTTTTCGGTTTCCATTTAGGAATCCTGGGAATGAGTAGGTGGTGATTGGGGTGAGAAAGGTGAGACGGGCAAAATGAAAACAGAATAGAGTCGAAGATTATCTGTGGATTATTACTGATCCAGAATTTGCCCAAGTGATCCAAAGAAACAACATAAAAACTTGGACCAAGATAGATGGACCCGAAATCGAAGCGGTGTCCTCTGGAATGCTAAGCAATGATCTAAACCTCTAGACCATGTCCCTAGGTCAAAAAGAAAGAAACCCTCCTAAAACCACTTACGTACCTGTCAGCGGCATGGCGTAGAGGTCTAGACCATTGCTTAGCATTCGGGAGGACGCCGGTTCGATTCCGGGTCCGTCTGCCTTGGTCCAAGTTTTTCTGTGGTTTCCTTGGATCACTTAGGCAAATGCTGAGGCAGTAATATTCCACAGTTAATCTTTCATTCTCTTCTGTCTTCATTTCGTCCGTCTCAACCACCACCCATCCATTCCCACGATTCCTGAAAGAAGGCTGAAGAGGGTCTTCCGCCCTACCTTCCGGTGTAGTTTGGAGGGACTGCCCGCTCACCAGCATTACTAGCTGGTGGGAATGAAACACCCAAGTTTTTTTTTTTCAGTCTGTCACAGTCAATTTTTCCAAAACGTAAAACACATAGAAGCATGAAATTTGGCACAGTAAACATTATTTTGACCCACATACTTTACACTAGTTAAACACTTTAAAATGGTCGGTCATACACGTACAGAAGTGTAAAAAAGGTAAAAACCATACCATTTTTAACTCCACCCTTCACATGATGCTGGTGAGAGGACTGTTTCACCAGTCTACACGGTAGTGCAAAGTGATGGAAAGGACTGTGAATCCACTTCAGACTCCTTAAGGAATTGCAAGAGTGCTTGACGGTAGTGGTTAAGAAGAGATAGAGAAGATGAAGGTACAGCAGAGTGAAAAACTAACTATTAGGCACACCCGGAATGTAAAGTGTGTATACCCGAGTTCTAGGCTATAATACGTATGTATAACCCAGTGCTGACTCTGCCGTAAATAACGTGCGGGAGCAATGGGATTTAAATATACTAACTAGGTCCGATGATATCCTGAGTTACATAGAGCTCTTCATATTTGAAATGGGAAATGACATTCTGGATGGTGACTACTCTCAAAGGGAAGGACAGCACCTTGCTTAATGTTTACCGGAAAAATATAGCAGATATTCTACGTCTTATAATCTCTCCAAATGGGTATTACTTATTTCGTTTTATTTGCGAAAGATTCCGATAAAAGTACCGTAGAATACATAGAATAATTTTTAATGCAACGACTAGGAGAACAGAGGACTCTATGGAAGTCAATAACAAATAGGTGAGATAGGTTGGTAAGGCACCTTCTCAGACATGAAGGTCTAGGCAGAAACAGGAATTAGAAGGAGTAGAGGTAGACCTAGATTAGATTACTGTTCGCAAATAGTTGAGGTTGTGGATGTTCTAGTTCTCAGGATAGGAAAGAGTGGAGATACGTGTCCAACCAGTCTTAGGACTGACGATCTTATGACGAACATGATGATGAAATAGAGGAATTGGACACTTTGGAAGCATTCATGCTCATGCATGCACTACATTAATAACAACACTGAAAACACAATGTCATCTTTCATTCTACCAAAACACACCCCTTGCAGACTGCCTACAAATTATAATACATAAAATGTGTTGACGACGCGCTGGTGTATCATTTTCCGATTGTAAAACCTCTATGTGTCCCGCAAGTGCACCTACAAAGTAAGTAAGTACTTTATTGCCATAATACGAGCGACGAACCTGAGAAGTACAAAGTCACAATGGTCTGTGGCAATACACTTCGATTGTGGGCGTATAAATAATGTTAAGCGCGGACCGATTAAAATTGGCTTAGGATAGGATGAAGCATGTCCAACCAGTTTTTGGACTGACGATACGACATACTATCATGGTGATTATGTAAGGTCTTTGAATAAAAACATCGGGATCTTCGGGAAGGGAAAGAAACTACGGCATTCCCTCCCAAATGTCAATTGTCACGCAATTTCCCAGCAACGGATGCAGTACTTTCTTCCCCTTGATGCGACTAAATAGTAGACGACGAACCACGGGCCAAAGTTTCATAAAACGATTTTTTGTCACAAATATGCTCAGGAGCAATTTCCACGCGGAGGATGATAATCCTTTTCTCATAAGTATGCACAAATGCGATTTCTTATCCGGGAAGGAATGTCGAGCTCTCTATCCATACGTAGGGACTGAATAATATTGAAAAGATAGTGTACTCTAAAGGAAAGGCCAATGTTCATGAGTGCGATTAAAATTTACTCTCTGTTTAATGTTACTTCACACTACCGGGTACAGTATGAATTAAATACACGATACGAGGACACCGACGTCCGAGGTTACTTCAGTTATAATAACGCACTCAAGGTTTAGTTTTTTACACCACGTGTACCCGCCTGTAAGGATAACTGCGACGTCACCAAATTATTTTACCGAAAAAGACAATGAGATATAATGATTAACGATAGACGTTATTGTAATACGTACTTATGTCGGTACTTGGATAAAAATACGCCTCAGTTTAAGTACTTAGGTACAAGTGTACAAACACATAATATTAATGATGGACGTAGACCTTCGGAGATATCAACGATAATAAAATAGGCAATCAGACGAATAGATACTAGATATTTTTAATCGCATTATCCTGGTGGAAGCTCGTGGGTATGCGCCACAAATAAGCACAGACTAGATAAAGCAATTGTAGTAAAAGCAAAATTAAAATGAATAAAAAATTTCTGATGTTACAGTTTGCGAATATTCGCCATTTATCTTATTCAAATGGGCAATGACGAAATTGTCTACAGTAATAGACATTTAATAAATATCTGCAACATTTACAACCTTGACGATATGATACAAAGCAAATTAAAAAGACCTTTACACGTGCCGATGTAAATTCAGTAAATAATAACGAAAACCGTTTAATGAAATATGTTTTTACTAGCTGATCCACTCCAAATTTGGACAGTAGGCACCGTTATCGATGGGCATTCCACTTAACATTTTACGTTTGGTCATGTTCAACGTGTTTTATTAATCCATCCTATATTTTAAACGTCAAACATTAAAAATTTGATGTCAGTAGAATGTACGTATATGTATATGCAATGCACTGTACTTCCGAATAGATATTTAAATCCACCCATTTCTTTGCAATTGTTTATTAACCCCACCGTCTTTTAATTAATTTTGTCAATTTGAGGAACTTAAAGTGGTTTCTATGTTCAAACAAGATATAGTTCCAGAATTTCACATTATCAGCTACCTCAGTTATGCCGATTCGGTAATTAACTCCATGTACAGGTTTGGATTCCACATCAACGAAAGGTATTGTATTGTATGGCCTAAAGTTTTCTGTATCTTTGTATTCTGTTATCTGGCAGAGTTCTTTAAACTTTAGATAACAAAAGATGAACAAGTGTAATGTCATTTTGCGTTTTTAGCTGTTAAGAAACAAAGAAATGTAGGAAAACCGCGACATATCTAAATACGCATTTTCTGATACAACCGGATTCCAGCTGATCACCGTCCCCGACGTCTCTCGCACTATTAATAAAATTTGGCCAGCGAACCCGTTTTTCTGCCATCCCAAGGCCGGACGTAAACACAGATACGTACAAGTGTATACATACATATACATGTATATATTTTCACGATCAGATCAAAAGTAATAATGTAGACCATGATACTTTTGATGAAATGCAGTGATGTAATGTCGCATTTTATTGAGACCATCATCTCCCCTTTGGTGAAATTCGCTTCGTCCATTTTGAACTCATAACTGAATAATGTTACAAATGATGAAAGCGTTTTACAAAAATATGGAACCCCTTTCTCCTTGGTGAGATTTTGCCGAACCCTTCCGCCTTTTGACCTCATGTAATATGGACGCCCTCAACATGTAGTTCAGTCATTCATAGTTTGGGAAGACTCTTGTCTGACTGACACTTACATCACATTACTCAATTTTGTTGCATATAAGGAACTTCGGTTCAGCCAGTGATTGTTGCGTTAAA